GCTGCCAGGCTCAGAGGCCCTTCTCTGAGCTCCGTGCATGTCTGCTTTTGCCTTCTAGAACCTGTCTACGTCCCCTTCCTGGTCGTCGGTTCTATCTTCATTGCCTTCATCATCCTGGGCTCCTTAGTGGCTATTTATTGCTGCACCTGTCTGCGACCCAAGGAGCCCTCGCAGCAGCCAATCCGCTTCTCGCTCCGCAGCTATCAGACGGAGACTCTGCCCATGATCCTGACCTCCACGAGCCTCAGGGCTCCCTCCAGGCAGTCCAGTTCGGCCACCAGCTCCAGCTCCACCGGCGGCTCCATCCGCAGGTTCTCCTTCGCCAGGGCTGAGCCAGGCTGCCTGGTGCCCTCACCGCCCCCGCCTTACACCTCAGGTCACCCAGTCCACCTGACCCAGCCCTCCGGTTTCCTGGTGTCACCCCAGTATTTCGCTTACCCCCTCCAACAGGAGCCCCCGCTGCCGGGGAAGAGCTGTCCGGACTTCAGTTCCAGCTGACAGGCCCTGGTCACAAACCCACCACGGCAGAACCATGCCTGGCAGGATCCTGGTGGCATTGGCACTGCATTTTTAGGGAACACTCCCTTGGGACTGGCCCAGCATCTGGGAGAAAAATTCTAGGAAAACGCCTGCTTTCTAGTCTGAGGTTCGTGGTGCAACTTACAGAATGGCTATGTGGAAACATCGCTTCTGGCTTTGCAAATATGGCAACCATCATGCTCAGCGTAGGTGGCAGCTGGACAAACTGGCCGAAAACCTTTTACTGGACAATTCAGCTACACTGCTTAGAAAAGAGTTACGGGTTCCTTTTTCATACCAGTTGTTTCTTTAGTTATAATACAAATGTATACACCCATAAGCCGAGAAGAAGACCTAATTGTACTTAACTGAAGGTTCACTTAAAAATTAACTACGCAGTAAACTCCAGAGGGTAGTGAACAAACGTAATTTGGGGGAATAAGCTAACCCTGAAGAAGAGTAGTAGGGTGAGAACGTTTAATTTTTAAATGAATAACTAAATTGTGTTGAAACTGTGAGTTTCGTTTGTTTTCCCAGAATGGAAGGTTTGCATGAACGCATCAGGAGTTGAATGTTAAGATAGGCACCCGGATGTGAATTGTTAACACAAACC